CTGCCCCCCCCCCCCTCCCCCCCCGTTGAGTGCACAAATTTTTGTGCACCGGACCTTTAGTATATAATAAAAGAGTAATATGCAAATTGATCCTGACATCAGAACAACGAGGAACAACCGGTCCCTATGAAGTGCACTGACCACCTGGGGGCAGACGCTCAACACAGGAGCTGCCCCCTAGAGGTCAGTGCACTCCCACAGGGGGAGTTACGCTCAGCCACAAGCCAGGCTGATGGCTTCTAGCACAGCAGTGTTGGCAGGAGCCTCTCCCGCATCCTCTGCAGCACTAAGGATGACCGACTGCAGCTTAATTCTGATCCCTGCTGGTAAGTGGACATCCCCCGAGGGCTGCCGGACTTCCAGAGGGATATCTGACTGCCAGCTTGGGCCCAATCCCCCAGGGAGTGGGCCTAAGCCAGTAGGTAGACATCCTCTGAGGGGTCCCAGACTGCAAGACGGCATAGGCCAGGCTGAAGGACCCCCCGAGTGCACAAATTTTTGTGCACTGGGCCTCTAGTTATCAATAAGAAAAGTAATAACAAGTGTTGGAGAGATTGTGGAGAAAAAGGAACCCTCATTCACTACTGGTGGGAATATAAACTGGTACAGTCAGGGAAAATAGTATGGAGGTTCCTAAGAAGTTTAAGAATATGCTGAGATTTGTGAAATTGGTGAAGGGATTAATAAAACAAACCTTATAGACACAGGCAATAGTGTGGCAATTACTAAAAAGGTGCTGGTGGAGGTACAGAAGAGTAAAATGGGAATAAATGGTGATGGAAGGAGATTTGACTTGGGGTGGTTAATACACAATACTATATACATATAATGTAGAATTGTATACTTGGAATCTGTATAATTTTATTAAACAATGTCACCCTAATAAATTCAATTAAAAAAACACACATCGGAGCCCAGTCTGAGTGACTCAGTGGTTGAGTGTTGACCTATGACCCAAGAGGTCAGGGTTCGATTCCTTGTCAGGGCACTTGGAGTCAATCCCCACTGTGGGGCATGCAGGAGGCAGCCAATCAATGATTCTCCCTCACCATTGATGTTT